TGTGTGTGTGTGTGTGTGTGTGTGTGTGTGTGTGTGCATGTGTGCGTGTGTGCGTGTGTTCGTCTGTGTGCGTCCGTCTGTCCACTTGCGTGTGTCTGGGACTACACACTCACTCTGGGCGAGGGTGCGCCTGTGACTTCCGGCGCATCCCCCTCGTTCTCGCCAGTCCATGATCATAGCCGGTTGTCATGGGTCCTCCGGCGCCTTGATAGTCAAAAGCCATTCTCCCCACTGGCCAGTTGGCGACCCACTGACTAATTCTCTCCCCCCCCCCCCCCCCCCCCCCCCCCCCCCCCCCCCCCCCCCCCGTCGTAGCCAGGCCCCACACTACGCCCACACGCTTCCCTCCCCTTCTCCCTCCCCCTCTCTCTCTCCCCTCCTCGCGGACGCGCGCATTGGCTACGATGTGCGGCCGCTGTGATGAGCTTCTCGACATTTGTCGGGGCCCGTCCCTCTCTCTCTTGGACCGCATCTCCATCCTTTCTCATCGGCTCTTCACCACAGACCAGGGCCGGCCGAACTTCGGCGAGCCGACCGACCACGTCCTCTTCCTGTCACTGAAGGTGCCTTTGCATGTCCACACGCTGCCCCCCGTCCCCTCCCTCGGTCATGGCCTCCTCGCCACGTCCATCCCCGCAAAAGCACTGACGCCCCTGGCGCGCTACCTCCACAGACCCTCCTCGGCCAGCTCACCATCGCGCATTTGGGCATCACCGAAGAGCGCCTCCGCTCGCAGCCGCCCAACCATGTGACATACTACGAGGTGTTGCACACCCCCTACGTGTCGATGGGAGTCTTCCTACTCGGCTGCGGGGCCTACCTCCCGCTCCACGACCATCCCGACATGACGGTCATCACGTCGGTCGTTCGGGGCAGTGTTCGCCACCAGGCCTTCGACTGGGTGGAAAACACCCCCCCTCAGGCCCTCTTCCAGAAGCCGGTCGGCGGGTTCAACTTCCGGCCCATCCCCCTGGCCCTCCCTGGGCCCGGCGAGGGCACGACCCCCTGCACCATGGCCACCTCCGGGGCCGCTGCCACCGTCACCAGCATCGATGCCCTCCCGGTCGGCACCTCGGCCGCCCATGTCTGCCCCGGCGATGGGGCTCCCCCGGCCGGGGGGGTGGCTTCGCCCGGGTCGGCCCCGGTGTGGACCCCCTGCGGGTCGGCCTCCTGTTCATCCTCCTGCTCGGCCTCCTCATCCTCTTCCTCCGGGAGCCTGGCCGCCGCTGGGGAGAGCTCCGGCCTGGATGCGACATTGGCCGGCTCCTCGGCCACCGCCGCCGCCGCCGCCGCCGCCGCCGCCGCTGCCGCCGCCGCCACCACCACCACCGCCACCGGGGGCGGCGGGACGCGGCCGGCCGTCCGGTCCCCCTACGGCATGGCCAATCCCACCCCGCTTTCCAGTGCCGCCCCGGCTGCGGCGTCCCTCGGCTCGGACTCTGCGCGGGCCGTACTGGACACCATGAGGAACCAGGCCCTCCAGAGCCTCCGGCAGACTGTCCGGTCCTTCGGCGGCCGGGAGGCCATCCGCATTGCCGACCAGGTGGTCGAGGCGCCGGCTCTGCACACGCTCTTTCCCACCAGCGGCGGGAACATCCACGCGTTTGCTGCCCTGCCGGATGCCCCATCAGTTCTTTTCGATATTCTGGCCCCGCCATACTCCGAGGACGATGTGGCCTACTGCCCGGATGGCGGTGAGGCTGTTGCTTCCTCTCGCTCCTCCTCCTCTTCACACGAATGTCCCTCCGGGGCAACCAGCGGTGCGTTGTGCCGCCCCATGGGCCTGGCTGCTCCTCTGTCCGGACCGTTCTTTTGCCCATGCCCCCGACGGCGACTGTGCACGCGGGTGGAGAGGAGCTCGTCTCTTTTCTGACATCACCGAATCCTGCTCCCTCCCCCGGTCTCTCCCTCTGCCGGCCTCTTGGCCTTGATTCATTGGGCCTTGCCGTGTATTTTCCGTGTTTTTGGCATCCATACACACACAAATATGGATATACATACATGTATGTATGTATGTATGTATGTATGTGTGTGCGTGTGCGTGTGTGTGTGTGTGTGTGTGTGTGTGTGTGTGTGCGCGCGCGTCCGACCATACGCGCGTCCGACCATACGCGTGTCGCCCATATACAGCCAATAATGGCGCCGCCTTCTCCATGGGCAAACTCTCGACCAGCAGCATCCCCTCCGGTGTGGAGGAGGTTTTCGCTGGCGGCGCTGGCGGCGCTACCGGGCCTTCGTTGACTAGCCTGCTGCTGAACCACTCGCGCGAGGTGTCTCCCCCGCCGTCTCCGCCGTCGGCCGAAGCCCGGCACTTTGCCGCTCCCCTCGAGGGGGCCTGGCCCGCCCACGTTTCTCTTTCCCCGACGGGCAGCGCCGGGGGGATGGCGATGTCTGCCACGGGCGTTCCAAGCCCCATCGGCACTGGGGGGCTCATCAGCGCCGCCGGCACCACCACTGGTACCACTGCTGCCGCTGTTGGCGCTGCCACCAGCATGGACGCCGCCTCTCCCACGGCCCTGGGCATCGCAGGGGTCGACACTGACGGCGGGCATTCCTCCACTCCCGGGCCTTCATCTGGCGCTCCTCCGCCTTGTACCTTCCACACTTGCCCCAAGTTTGGGTCGGCTCTCACGGCGGCCGCCCAGCTGGCGGCCCTTCCGCTGACAGCCTCCGGCCTGCTGTCTCAGTTCGACGGCCTGGAGCTGTCTGTCCTGGCCGGCCATCACCAAGCGCCGGCTGGGCACCACCTGGATGGCCGGTGGCCGATGATGCCGGGCACGTCTTCCGGGCCCGGGCTGCCGCTGCCCCTGCATCCGACCCGGGTGAGCTCGTCCTCCTCGGAGGAGGATGTTGCCCGGGGGGGTGACCCCTTGGGGAGTGGCAGCGACCATGGCAATGCCGGCCCCGGCATCAGCATCAGTAGCAACAGCAGCAGCAGCAGCAGCAGCAGCAGCGGCGGCGGCGGCGGCGGTGGCGGCGGTGGCCCCATGAGTGGTGGTGGCGGCGGAGTTGGCCCACTGGCCGAGCAGTTTGCGTCGGTGGGCTTCGGCTCGCAGCCACCTTCGCCCCGGGCTGCCGAGGGGCTGACATCGGCTCCTGGGCCCTTCGAGCGGGCTTCCTCCTCGCCCTCCTTCTTCGACTCCGGGAACCATAGTCCCCGGCCGATGGAGGGGTCGGTTTCTCTGGCGACGTCGGCATCTTCCTCGTCGCTGTCGCTGGCGGTCCCGGCGACTGGGTCGTCTGCTGCGGTAAGCTGCTCGGCCACCCCCCTGGCCGGTGGTGATGGTGGTTCTTCAGTTTCTTCTCCCTCGCCTCCGGGGCGTCTGCCCAACGCCGGCGGTAGCCCGCTGCCGCCGGCCCTGGGCCACGAATCGGGGGAGGGGACGGGACCTGGAGCATCGCCGGCAGCCGCGGCGGCGGCGGCGGCGGTGGCTGCTGTTGCTGCGGCGGCAGCCGCGGCCGCCGCCGTCGCCGCGGCCGCCGAAGATCGCCGGCGCGACTGCACCTACTTCAGTGAGTTTTTGATTGACGGCCATCAGCGCGCTTCCATCGGGATCCCGATTGGCTTGGCCTTCTTGACGCCAGCCTTCCCGGAATATTCCTCCGATGTGGAAGCCTATCATGGGACACAGATCCACCATGTTTTGGCGGATTCCTTCGGGGCGTATGCCTCGTCTGACGTGGATGAGGGCGACTTTCCGGAGTGCCCGGCACTGACGCCCGTGGTGCCGACTGGGGACACCTCGCCTGGCGTCGGCCCCGATGGCTACGCGTCCATCTTTTCGCTCAAGGTGTCAGATGGCCTTGCGGGGCCGGCCATGTCCTCGAGCATGGCTGCCGGCGCGGGAGCCTCCGGTGCAGCGGTGGTCCGGCCATCCGGTGGTGGCACCGCCTCGGCCGTGTCGCCGCTGGTGCTAACTCCGAAGGGCTGACATCCTGCACGGAGTCATCTTGACCCACGGGCATCATGTGTCTGTGTGTATGCGTGTGAACGCGCGTATGCGTGTGTGTACTGGCATGTACGTGCAGATGCGCCCCCTCCCCACCTTCGTTTGTCCTTCTGAATGGCGCATTTCCACGCGGAAGCCCGTGCATCCCTCCTACCGCATCACAGCCCAATGGCGTGTTTGCCGCCTACACCACTGACACAGGCCCCTTTTCGCACATCTCTGTCCCGCGCAGGCGACACCGCCATGCTGTCTGTCTCTCGATCGCGCGGGGCCTGCCCAACACGTCCTGCACATGGCCGCCTTCTCTCCCTCCCCCCCCCCCCCCCCCCCTCTCTCTCTCTCTCTCTCTCTCCCTTGTCCTCAACTTCTGGCCGTTCGCCTCCCTATTTTTCTCCTTGCCAGCCGAGGAGAGGGATGTGCCACTGTTGAATGGGGGCCCCACCCTATCCTGTGGGTGTTCCTGCCCACCCAGATGGCTTTCAGGGCGATGTGTTCTCTCGTTCGGGCCCGTCCCTTCGATTGCCCCTCGCCGCATCGCTGCTCCCCCCTCTCTCCTCTTCCCTCTCCCTAGACACTTTGCCTCGCTCCGTCAATTTGCCACTTCCACCCCAATCGGAGGAGGACCACTGCCTGTACTTGTCAAGCCCCCCCCCCCCATGTTTCGTTGCCCTTCTCTCGCACGAAACTCGACTACACTCCCCCCTCTTTCACATGCATATACGTGTCTCCTTTCCTTCCGCCTCTTGGAGACCATGCGCGCATGCACATTCATCATTTCTGCCGGGATTAGTCCGCCCCTTCGCCCGGGACCCGTTGGCCTTAGCCCGGGCGTTCGGAATATCTCGCCAGTTCGGTTCCCCCTTCTCCGCATGTCGAGGCAGCCAAGAGAGCGCGCATGTGTCTTGGCCCATTCAGCGGAGTGGATCACTCAGACGCGCCCTCCCGAGCGACATCCTCTGCCTATTGTTCCGAGAAACTTCCCAGCGAGCGAGCCCTCGGGACCGGGGAAGGGGGGGAGGAGGGGGCGGGGGCCAGGCGGCGTACGGTCGAGGAGTTTTTTTTTTCCGCCCGGCGCGGGGTCCGCAACCTGCCAACGTTTGGCCCCTTCGCGACCCGCCATCCGGGGTGGGCTTGTGTTGGCCGGGGTCGTAAATGCGTGTACGCGGGCGGGGCCAGAACCCGAGGCCGAGAGGGGAGGCGCCCGCTCTCAAGGTGGTGCCGTGAGGTCGGGCGGGCCCCGGCGATCCCAAGCGAAATGGCCAAAAACGCGCGCCCCAGCCGGGGGCACCAGCTACATCGCCACCCCTTTGTCCCCACATCCCGGCCATATTCTCGACAACGTTGCGGGGTTTCCTTCTATTGATGAGTGAGGTGAGGGCAGGCCTCCCATCGCGGGCACACTACCAGGGTGCACACGGGCATGGAGACGCGAGTGCCCCCTGTCCCTCCCTCTCTTTCGCACCCACACACACACACACATTCGCACACAGACGCGTGTGTCCTCTAGCTTGATGTGAGGAGAAGATGACAGATGGAGAAGCTAATGACGAAGGTGACAGTCACCACAAGGACCGAATGCTTGCGCAGGTAAGAGGCAAAGATGGACCGGAGGTAGCCGGTTTTCTTCTGAGGCGAAACCCGCTCCGGCCCAGCAAAGCGCGCTTTTCAGGTGGGAAAAAAAAAAGAGAAAGGGAAGCAAGGGTGTGCGGCCGCAGGAGTCAGCACACAGGGCGGCGTCGGGGGAGGGGAGTGCTTTGTCTTGTTTTTTTTTTTGGAAGGAAGAGAGAAGAGATGGCGCAAGGACACAACAGGGCACCCTGCAGCGGTGGAACAGATGCAGGGGCAGAGGAAAGAGGGGCAGAAAAGGGGAGGAACAAAAATGTAGGTCGAAATCTCGAGCAACAGCAACACACAGGGGGAAGGGAGGAGGAAGGGGAGTGGCGGACAAACGAGCGCTCTTTCTCACTTGGACAGGTGCAGGTGGGGAGAGGAGGGATGGAAGGGGCAGGGAAGAGAGGGGAGGGGGGTGCGCGCGCGCTCTAGGTGCTTGAGGATTGCGAACCAGCTGGGAAGGACACGCAGAAGCCGAGGAAAACCGGCTTGTGGTCGGAATTGCACAGGGTCCGGAGGGAATCGAAGATGGACGGCTGGAGGGCGTAGCCCGGGGCGGTGGGAATACGCCAAAGGACACGATCGCAGAAGGCCGGGTTGCGCTGCTTCTTGGAAGAGTCATAGTTGTTGGTGCCGATGTCGAACTTGTAGGTTGGCGGGAAGGCGGGGACCAGCTCGGTGAACCCCTGGAAGACTCTCCCGGCGGCCATCTCGCGGCTAAGCGTGGAGATGTTTGTTGCGAAGGAGTGATGGGAGGGCAAAGGGTGGCACGGGGAGTCAGCGGCACTGAGCAGCAGGCAAGGGGGGGGGGGGGGGGGAAGACGCCGGCGCAGTCAAGTGCACGCACTTCAGCTGGTCATGAGCATAGAGCTTGCCCCAGTTCTCCTCGGCGATGTGGGTCATGAGGTCGGCGCGGTCCAGCTCAACGCGGTAGTTCAGATCGCCGAGCCAGACGATGACGTCGTGGTCGCCAATGCGCGTGAGGCCATCGGTGCTGGGCTGCACGGGCGGCGCGGTGTACGTGCTCCGCGCGCACTGGAACTCATTCTGAGCCTGGATGACGGAGTCCTCATCCTGCGATGGCCGGCTCAGGAGGTCCTCCACCGTGGCACGGGGAATGTCGGAATTAACATCCGAGAAGAAGAGCATGCGCTGGCAAATGCTGGAAAAGGGGGCGGACAAGTGGGTGAGCGTGTGTATGCCGGGTGACGCATGGCGGGCCAGCGCAGAGGGGGGAAGTGGACTGGGGAAAAGGGGAGGGGGGGGGGGAGAGCGGCGTACTCGCGGAAGTCCTCATTGCGGCGCTGGACATTCGGCACATGGGCGTTGAAGTGGCTGTTGATGAAGACAAAGGAGGTGGAGCCGATGTTGAAGCGGACGGCCACAGCGCCCTTTGGGAGGAGGAAGAGGAAGAAAGGGGGGAGGACACGTGGGCGTCAGCAAAGGGAACGGAGACATGGACCTGATGTGCCCTTCACAGCCACACCCACACGGCCAAAAGCAAGGCCGGGGAGCCATGCATACCTTGTTGCCGAGAATGCGGCCAAGGCCGGTGCCAACCATGGACGCATCGACTTGGGTGATGGACTCCTGGATGAGGGTATCCTTGGCGAAGACGAGGATCAGCATGCCGACAAGCTGCGAAGAGGAAAGCAGCGAGTACGTGCCAGTGGTCGAGGCACGGTTCAGCAGGCTGATGGTCTCGTCGATCCACAGGCCGGAGGTCTTGGCATTGTTCTCGAAGTAGGCGTCCTTCGAGGAATCGAACTCCTGGAAGCCAAGGACCACGAGATCCGGGTTGGCTGGGAGGATCAAGGCAGGTGTTAGGAGACAGGGGCGGCACAGGCAGCGAAAGAGGCCACAGGCGAGGAGCCGGCGGGGCAGGGAGGGGGGGGGGGGGGGAGGGACAGAGACCGGGGTTAAGCCACTGGTGGAGCGCTCCCAAGGTCTTGTGGTTGTCATTGATGTTCCATGATCCGGCGAAGACCGTGAGGGATGTCGATGATTCCGGGAACGTCATCTGGGCGGGGTAGGCTCTTGGCGAAAGGAGGGGAGTAGGGGGAGGGGAGAAGGGGGGGAGAGAGAGAGAGGGAGAGGACGAGGGAGGGGAGGGGGCAGGAGGGGGGATAAGAAAAAAGAGCAAGTCTTCATCGACAATAGCATGCCACAAGAAGAATGACCAGGGATCGGCCTCCCCCCCCCCCCTCCGCGAACTCCATCCACCTCCAAGGCGCAAGTGTTTCCTGGTAGAGCCGCAACGGGCGTCGGCGCGCACCGTGCGCGCGCGCCGGGTCCCAAGGATGACCACGGTTTCCCCGAAAAGAAGCCCGCGACTGCGTGCACCGACCACCCTCAGGCGCGTCATTCCGCGCGACCCCGTGCGTTCGAAATAAATGTACGTGCGCAGTCATACGCCCCGGTCCCCCTGGGTATGTACCCCCACCCCTGGTGGCGACGCCCCGCGGAAATGGCGATGGCATCTCCGACCGAAATGGCGGCCGGAAGCGCGGAGGGCGGGAGCCTAAAAAGAACTGGGCTCGTGCCACATGCACACACACACACACACACTGCCAGGGTGGTTATTACCTTCTCGCCGGCTCGGCCCTCCCGCGGGGGCGTCCTTTCTTGAGCCCACGCACTCAGCCCTGCAGCAGGAAGCAACGGGCCGAGGGACCGGCAGTTCCTACACGCGCCCCTTGGACAATGGGACAAGACCACACGACCTGCCCAAGAAAGAACTGCCTTGACTTGGGGCGGACATGCCACCGCGCGGGCCGACTTGTGCCCAGCCACACGGCTCTCGCGGGGGAAGTTGCTCCCCCCCCCACCCCGGACCCGACCGAGGCAGGAGCGCGCGCAGGGCCCCTTTGCTCGAGAGCCCGGCAAAAATGGGCAAGCACAAGCTGATAATGGAGAACAAACATCAGAATTGTTATCTTAAAAGAATATGAGAGCAAACTCATAATAATGAGGTGGACAATCTATTTTTCGACAATTATTGATTATTCAAGACTTGATGTTCCTAAATACAAAAATAGACTACTTTTCTGTCATATAATTGCCCAAACAATAGTATAAAGCTGTGAATTGACTGCCATGAAAAAACGATCTGCTGTCTATTTTTCCGCTACGAAAATCTATTTTCCCTTCTTCAGCCGCCCCCTTGCGGTTTCTCAGTCGCACCGGTCGGTATCCTTTTCCCCCTCGCACCTTCCCTTTTCCGCTCCGTGTCCTCTTGTTCTTCCTCCCTTCCTTTCGTTGCTCCTCCCTCTCTCTCCCCCTTCGAAGCATCCCGCCCTGATTGTGCATCTCCTTTCCTCCCGCCGCCATGGACCCTCCAGGCGGCCACTCATCTCCCCCGCCGTCTCTGGCTGACGACCCGTCGCTGACGCCGGAGCACACGTCGGAATGGCGGTCCTCTTCTCCGCCCCGGCTGGCACGGCGCAATCGCCGGCGACGCGTCCCGGCCGACGCCGGCTCCCTCCACTCCTCCCCGGAAGCCGACCTGGGCAGCCGGCCGAAGGGCCCGGATCCGGTACTCGCTCCCGGGGATCTGCTCCTGGACGAGGCAACCACTCCTTCCGGAGCGGGCACCCTCCTGCCGCGGGACGGTGAGCCGCCGTCGCTTGCGGTTCCCTCCCGGCCGGCGGCCGCATCGACCATCACTCCTCCGCCTACTGCCCTTGCCCCGGGCTCGGGGGGGCCTCCGGCTCGTCCACAACAGCGAGTCGCGCGTATCCAATCCAACCGTGACAGCTTTTCCCAGCAACTCTCCGATCAACGCCTCGATGCCGGGCAGGGTCTCTTTGTCGCGAGTACCGGCACGCATCGAGGCCCCTCCTCCTCCTCCCCCTCGCCGGATCCGCTGCAAACCCCACCACCACCCTCAGGCCGGAGATCGGGGGCTCTCTCGCTGCCAAGCCCCACGGCCGCACGGACACCAACGCCCGATGCCGGTGCCCGGCCTACCGGGCCGCCGGTTCTGCCGCTGCGACAGCGCCAACGCGGCCGTCCAAGCCCCCCGTCTGCCTCCTTTTCCTCTTCGCCCTCGGATGTGGAAACCCCGGAGGCGGCACTCGGGGCTGGGGGTCCCGTACGGCCGCTCTTTTCGCCGGTGGACGGCGCCGAGCAGCCGCCCCGTGCCCCACTTCCTGGCAGCGACTTTCGCGCCATTCAGCGCCTTTTGGCCAACAGACGTGTGCTCTTCCGATCTGCGGCCGTCCAAGCCCCCCGTCTGCCTCCTTTTCCTCTTCGCCCTCGGATGTGGAAACCCCGGAGGCGGCACTCGGGGCTGGGGGTCCCGTACGGCCGCTCTTTTCGCCGGTGGACGGCGCCGAGCAGCCGCCCCGTGCCCCACTTCCTGGCAGCGACTTTCGCGCCATTCAGCGCCTTTTGGCCAACAGCTCGCCGGACTATCCGCTGCCGGATTCATTGATGCTCTCCACCTCCTTGATGTCCTCCCCGCTGTCGGATCTCTCCGACGCCGGCCCGGATGTCTACCGGTCTCTCTTCCCGGCTGCTCCGCCGGGAAGCTCCAACGGTGGCAGTGGCGCCTGGTCGTTGCTGGACGCGGTGGCGGCCGAGCGTCGCGCGTCGGCCCTCGCCGATGTGGCAGCCACACCGGTGGCTCCTCGGACACGCCCCTCCGCCGGCCGGAGCTCGACGTCGACCCCCTCAGATGCGATGATGATCTCTCCCCAGGGGGTGGCCGATGCGCGGGCCACCTTCCTCCCTGGGCGACCGCTCTTCTCGCCGGTTGGCGCCCCTTCCGGGAGTGGGACCGGCGCCGGGGGCAAAGATCGGAAGAGCGTCGTGTGGCTCCTCGGACACGCCCCTCCGCCGGCCGGAGCTCGACGTCGACCCCCTCAGATGCGATGATGATCTCTCCCCAGGGGGTGGCCGATGCGCGGGCCACCTTCCTCCCTGGGCGACCGCTCTTCTCGCCGGTTGGCGCCCCTTCCGGGAGTGGGACCGGCGCCGGGGGCAACTCCGCGCCCTCGGCTGGCGGAGGGCTGTCCTTCATCAGCACCCCGGGCCGGTCCAGCACTTATGACGCCTTTCCGTCGTCAACTCCCTCACACATGCGCCACATGCATCATCCGCCCTTGTCAACTCCCCAGCGCCCGGATCAGCCCTCATCGACTGCTTACCATGCGCTCTTCGGGTCGGGAGCCCTGAACAGCACCATGGATCATGGGCACTTTTCCATGGACTTCGGCGGTGCCATGAGTTTCCCCTCGCAGACTCCGCCGCCGGTGGCGCCCATGCAGCGGCGTGGCTCGGGCTTGTTGCTTGATACCCCTGGGACCCCGGTCCCGGGATCGCTGCTGCTGCTGAGTGCCGAGCATGGGCATGCTGCCGAGACCCCGGCGATCTCGGCATCAACGCGGGTGCCCTCCGTGCCGAAGCCGCCGCCGCCGCCGCCGCCGCCGGTCGCGCCGGCCACCCCGGCGCCGGCCAACGCCCGGGATGTGGCCGCCTCGACGACCGGCACCACCATCGACTCGGCTGTCCTCCTCCCCGCGGGAGGTCGGACTACGGCCCTGGGGAGTGTCCCGGCGCCGGGGGATGCCGAAGGCGCGCCGCCGGTCCTCAGTGCCGCGGCACAAAGCGCCATCGATGAGGCGGAGTCCTTTTCGCGGTCGATCAATGTCTTCCACCAGCGCCGGCGCCATCTGCGCCATGTGCTGGCCGTGCATGCCACCTTGGCCCCCTCGCCGGTGGTGGTTCGAGCCTTTCCCACCCAGGCCGCCGAGGCCGGCCCGAATGCCGGCGGCCTGCATGCGGCCCCCTTTTCGCCGTCGATTTCCTATGCCCCAGGCGGGCCGCTGGCCATTTCCACCCCGCTTCCAGCGCGCGCCAGTGCCCTTGACCTTGGTGGCCCCCCGGCCGGTGGCCGGGCCCTCATGGACTGGCAGGCGGAGGAGGTGGCCCGGCTCCATCGCCGCGTGAGCCACGCCACCAGCGGGGGCATCCTCTCCTCGCCCTTGAGTGGGGATCCTTCCCCTGCATCGTCCTCCCTGTTGAGCTCCTCCTCCTCCACCGACCCTTCGCCCATTTCCTCCACCTCTTCGGTCCTCTTTGCTCCGATGGAGCTCTCGCCGATCGCGGAGACTTCCTCATCGGCTGCGCCGCCGATTCGCGGCGTCCCGACACGCGCGGCCCATGCGGCTCGCGGATCTCGGGACCGGGGGCCTCGGACGACGGCCCGTGCATCTCACCCGGATCATGGGCCCCTCTTCGGCATGGCCACTCCCCTGGGCGGTCCGGCTGGGCGGGATCCGGCCGCCTCGCTGCAGCTGATGGCCACCCCCTCGGCCGGAGCCGGGGCTGATGCCCTGGTGACCACTCCGGTTCCTGCGTCATTGCTATTGGTGCCGGACTCCGGGAATGGCGGCTCGGCGTCGGACATGTCGACCGAGGCCGTGTCTGCTTTGGCCGCGGCCCTGGCGGCCCCGCCCGCCGGTGCCGATGATCATCCCCCTTCACACCCGCCCTCGCCGTCCAGCAGCTTGCAGCCCCACGCGGCCGGCCGCACGGCGCCGCTCTTCTCCTCGCCAGCCGGCCTGGAGGAGGACTCGCTGCTGGGTGCCCCGGCGGCGGGGCCCCTCTTTGGCTCGACTCTTGGTAGCTCCTCCAGTGACGACCTCTTCACGTCGGGCTCTTCTCGTGCGGACTTCGTTCCTCGATTCGAGCCGCTTGGCCCGGCGCCGCCTCTCGAGCCCCTGACGGAGGGGGCTCTGCTTGCCTCACTGCCGGCCGATTCGGCCGAGGACTCCGATGTATGTGTCTCCCCTGTGCGCCTCTTTTTTTCTTCCTCCTTCTCCCGGCCCATGTCCCTCCCCCCTGCCTGCGACCCGTTGATTGTGTACTGATGCTGGTTTGATCGCCTCCGCCCCCCCCCCCCCCTCTCCCCCTGCCAATCGGCATGGTGTAGCTTCTCCGGAGTTTGCTGCTGGTAGGCTCCTCGGATTCGGAATCCGACTCGTGGCTGCCCCAGCCGGCACCTCCGATGCCGATGCGCCTGGAGGCTCGCATCGAGGCAAGCCGCGAGCAACCCGCCCTCATGCCACCCATCCCGGCCATCGTGCACTTCGAATCCCCCCTCCACCAGCTTCCCTCGATCAATCCCATCAATTCCCGCGACCGGGACACACTCGAGGCGCAGACCATCATGCTTGTGCTCACAGGACGCCTCACTCCCAGTCACATGGCCGGTACGTCGGGGAGCTGCTTCTCGGCCCCCCCATGCCTCGGGTCCTTTCGCCCGACCTCTCCCAGCGGCCACCCTGCGATGGCTCTTCCTGACGCATGCCCTCGCTGGCTCTCTCTCTCTCTCTCTCTCTCTCTCTCCCTTCCCCCCTCTTTCGCCGCTCCTGCTGGTGCATCCAGTTACCGAGGAGGACTCGGTCGAGGCGTTGATGCGCGTGTTCCAGGCATCCGGCATCAGTGGCGAAGCCATCCCGCATGTGGCTCTGCCGGACAGCGAGGCGGCGGCCCGGTCGCGCGACGCCGCACACCGGACCACGGCCGCCGCCATGACGGCCAGCTACAACATGGAAACCCTCTTCCCGTGGAGCTACCACCATGACCGGTCGGTGACCCCGGCAGCCGATCCCATCCTCCACCGAGCCGAGGAAGACCAAGTGCTTCCCACCTGCCCGAGCGAGATTGCCTTCCGGCAGAGTGTCCTCGCTGAGGACCGGGCTGTTGGCGGAATTGTGGGGCTTCCCTTGTGGCAGACTCTCAAGCAGACGGCCTGGCTCCATGGCGATGATGATGGGTCTTTGTGGGCTCTGCTGCGCAGCTCGTCCGACCTGACACCGCTGCTGTCTCGCTCGAAGGCACAGACGCATGGCGGCCGTGGCCGGTACGCCCTGGCACAGGACTCCTCCAGCCACTTGAGCACCCGGCCGCCGCAAGCTTTTGCCTTCCATGGGCCGTGGGTTTTCGATGTTGATGGTCAGCCGCCACCCTTTCCCATTTGAGGTCCTTCGCGGGGGTGAAATGAAGATGTCCTTGTTTGCTTTTTCTCTATTTCGGGGATGTCCATCTCATGTCGAGGAGGGCTCGGGCGGCGGAGGGACCGAGAGGGGCGGCTCAAGAAGGCTTTTGACCCAGGTGCATGTGTGTTAGATGGAGGCCGTGGCATTGTGCGTCGGTGTTGGGCAAATGCACGCACCACAGGGGCATGTCCAGGGCCTCGACGGCGGCGGGATTGGGAATCAAAAAGCCCGAGGGACTCGGTGCTTCGACGTGCGTCGGGCCACTTGACACTGGAGGTGGCTGAAGGAAGGAGAAGGGCAGGCGCGGGGGGGACGACAAGGCAAGCGGGTCCTTGTCCGTGGAGGCCATCATCAACGGCGCAAGGGAGGACCGGGGCAGGGGGGGCGTGTGGGTGTCAAATGCGGCGAAGGAGTGGGCGGCTGGATGGGTGGTGGTCCCTGTGTTCCTCCCATGCCCCTGCTCCGGGCAGCCGCCCCATATTCCCCCAGGGCGGAGCCGCACACAGCAGGGATCTCCTGGCCGGGCCCCGCCGATACACCTTCCAACGCACAGGGAGGAGGGGAGAAACAAGAAACGCGTGCCGATCATGGTGAAGCTTCGTTTTTATTGGTTTTCATTCTTGTCGAGGCAGCGATAGCAGCAGCGCGATGGGCACGCGCCGACCAGGGACCTCTCCGGGCTCCGGCTCTTTGTGTCGCTCCCCATATCGCACATCCCCGACTGGTCTCCTGTGTGTAACACGAAAGGCAGACGGAAAGGAAAACAGCCGCCGGGGCGCATTGGAGACGGGGAGGCCGAGCGGAGCACGGGCTGGCTCATACATGGGTGCGCATGCGTACGTGCGTACGGCAAAGGACGCTGCCAGCCCCGGGCACACACTTACAGGTGGCCGTCATTGGTCAGGCTCTCGAAGCCATCCTCCGAGGTGACACCCAGGTGGAGGATGCGATCGCCAGAGCTGCACACCGGGTTGACGCTCTTGCCGACGACGATGCCATTCTCCGGGGCAATGTACTGGGCGATCAGGTCACCAAAGACATTGTACACGCGGGCGACCACATCGCCGGCCCGGACCCAGTCGTTGATCTCGGGCAGGACGGTCAGGATGCCGCCGGATTGGGTGAACATCCAGAAGGACCGGGTGCAAACGACGGCATCCTTCTCGGGGCGGGTGGACTGTTGGCAAGAGGGGGTACACGGGTTAGCAGGGCAAGTACAACGACGAGATGGGCGAACAGATGGAGGGGGAGGGGGAGGGGGAGGGCGAGGGCGAGGGCGAGGGCGAGGGCGAGGGCGAGGGCGAGGGCGAGAAGAGAGAGACATACCTGGCGAGGCACCATCTTCAAGTGGCACATGATGTTCTCCACACCGAGGTGGGCAAAGTGAATGAAGCGCCGGTGGAAGCGCTGAGGGTCGCCCACCTCGACGGTGATGGCGTGGATGCCGAGGGCGTGAGCCGCGCCACGAAGCGACCCATCGGGGCCGGTGTTGTGGACGATGATCTGCGGGTGCTGGAGGATGGCCATCTTGGCGGTGACCGGGTTGATCATGTTCGCGCGGACGTAGAGCGAGTTGACACGGCCGGTGGAGGCGGTGTGCATGTCCAGCAAGTAGTCGAACTTCTTGACGATGCGCTCCAGCAGGTAGTAACTGTACTGCTGGCCGGCGGTGCCGGTGGGCTTGCCCGGCATCAGGCGGTTGAGGTCCGACCCGTCGAGATAGCCACGCTGCTGGCGCAGGAAGCCCGGAGGGTTGGCGATGGACACGGCCACCAGGCAGCCGGAAAGCTCGGTGCAGTCAATTTCCCGGAAGAGGCGGTGAATGAGGGGAATGCCGTTGAGCTCGTTGCCGTGCAGGGCGGCCGTGATGCCGAGGACCGGGCCGCGCTTGACGCCCTTGGCCACCATGACCGGGACGCGAATGGGCAAGCCCAGACCATCGGTGGCCAGGGCGATCCACATGCGCGACACGCGCCCGGACGGCAGGGAGTTAAGGTCGAGGGTGGTGAAGGTGGGGACGCTCTGGAAGGGGGGGGGGGGAGGAGGAAGGGGCTGGTTAGAGGCGGGGAAGGGGAGGGAGGGAGAGGAAAGGGAACCAAGGGGGGGGGGGGAGGGCGCACTTCGATCGGGTCAACCATGGTGGTGGCACACTCGGAGAAAACGTGCGAGGGGGACGGGTCCATGCCCTCGATACTGGGCCGCGAGTCGATGGCGATCTGCATGGGCAGCGGCGGAAGGGGGAATGTTAGCGCGAGAGGGGGACGATCATCCGGACCGGCAGGGGGGAGAAAGGAGGCCGGGCGACAAGGGGGGAGCCGGGAGAAGGATCCCAGGCAGGGCGTACCTTCCGCGCCCAGGTGGCCACCTCGCGAATGTCGGCAATGGAGCTGGTGAAGCTGGCCGAGCGGACACACCGGGCCAGGGAGGCCAACACGCCGGCGGTCGGGGCACGGCGTTCGCACTTCTTGATGAACTTGGTGCAGGCCTGCTCATTGGTCAGGGCGTAGGCGACAAGATCGTCGGCCAGATCGCACAGGCTGGTCACCTTGGACACCAGCTCATCCGGCAGCGGGTCCACGGTCTGCGCCAGGAGGGCGGAGAAGGAGTGCTGGGAGGAGTTGCGCAGGGACATGGATCCGGAGGAGGAGTGCGATGAAGAGGAGGCCGTGCCGTCGGACTCGGTGGAGGCGACACTCGACGAATGCAGCGGGTCGGTGGAGGCGCTATTGTCACCGCGGAGACTGGGAGAAAGGCTGGCCTCAAACTGAAGGAGCTGTGTTTGGCGGGGAGACGGGGAAGGAGCAGAGGGGAGGGGGGCATGTGAATCAGTGACCATGTCCCAGGGGCAATGGGTGCGAGAGAGGGGGGGGGGGAGACCATGCGCGTACCTCCTTCTCGCACTGCTCGCGCTTCTTCTTGATCTCCTCGCGGTAGCCGTCGAACACGGTGGACACCTTGTTGATCTCGTTGCGCAGGGCCTCCTTCAGTTGGTCGGCGATCTCCTTCTTCTCGGGCGGCAGGACGAAGGGCTTGAACGGGGCGGCCGGGGAGCCCCGGCCCACACCGTCATCCAGCTGCAGCGCGGTGCCCATGAGAGACTCCATGATGTGCGGGTTGCTGGTTGCCCGCGAGAGGGGGATGGCGTTGCTGGCGCCGAAGAGGGAGCAGGTGCCGCCCGGAGTGCCGGGGGCGCTGCTGGCGTACGGGTCCTCGCGGGACGTCCGCCGGGCCTGATCAACGGCCACGCGCAGGGGCTTGGACTGGAGGGAGTGGTTGGCGGGGAAGGCCGACCGTGCGGAAGGGGGGGAATTCTGCTTGTCCGCCGGGAGGGGAGAGGTGGTGGCGTTGGTGACGGCAGCCGAGGCGGCGGCCCCGGCGGCCGAGACCATGCCGGTGGTGGTGGTCCCGGTGCCGGCGGCCGCGGGCCCGGGTGAGGCCGGAGTGGCCGGGTCCGCCCGGCGCAGGGTGGCGAGGCTGGCTCCAACCACCGGGGTCTTGGACTTGTCGACGGTGTCGTGGGAGTCGTAGTTGTCGGCCGCCGCGACGGCCGGGTCATCGACATCGTCATCGTGGTGGGCCGACTCGCCGACCGCACCGTCGACGAACTTGGCCAGGATCTCCTTCAGGCCGCGGTAGTCGAAGTACTGGGCTGGGGAGAATCGCGACTCGGGACGAGAGCCTGGCATTGTTGGGGCTGCATGTGGAGGGGGTGGGTGTTGGGCGAAGAAAGACATGGGTAAGCGGCCGAACGGGTTGGGGGGGGGGGG